CTCTCTCCCTCTCTCTCAATCCCAGTCCCTCCCTCCGTCTCTGTCCCTCCCTCAGTCCCAGTCCCTCACCCCTTCACTCCCTCATTCCCTGCCCCTCCCTCCCTGTCTCAATCCCAGTCCCTCCCTCTCACCCCTCAATCCCAGTTCCTCACTCTCTCAATCCCAGTCCCTCCCTCCCTCCCTCTCACTCCCTCATCCCAGTCCCCCCCTCAATCCCCGTGCCTCCCTCAGTCACTCCTTCACTCCCTCATTCCCCAGTCCTTCCCTCCCTCATTTCCAGTCACTCACTCCTCGTCCCTTCTTGCCTCACACACTTAGCCCAGTTCCTCCTTCCCTCACTCACTTACCCCAGTCCCTCCATCCCTCTCTCCTTCCCTCCCCAGTTGAACCTCCTGATTTGAATGAGAAGCTACTGCTGGAATTTGCACAATGGATTGTGCTTCCAGAATGACTTCAGAAAGGACATTGCTCCCTCCTTCTCTTGTGGTCAGCACAGACTGGTTGGACCGAAGGGTCTGTGTCTGTGCTGTATGACTCTATGACTGCACCTGAGCAGGTCTTACAACCGGACTGACAGAGTCAGGACACATGGACGAGAGCTGATTGTCAAACATGCAGTGAGCTGCTGCAATTTCTTGTTCACTGTTGACCAGTCATGGGAATGGGGGTGTGGAGGTCAAGGTTACAGGCCAATCCCCCCCCCCCACCAGAGCCAGAATGGCCACACTCAGGGGTCAGTTCCCCTCCAGCGGTGCTGCTCTGGCCTCCCTGTCTTGACTGGTGGCTGTAACCTCGGAGAGGGACTCCCTCATTGGAAACCCCGACCCCCAGCTTGACAGTCCACACAGCATTCCCATCTGTCCCCTGGTGACTATCACCTCTCACTCTCAGCCCTGAAATGATGGGCCCGCAAAGACACAACCTCTTCACTCACACTACCTCCAGGCAGCACTCTGACCGGTCACAGTCCTCCCGCACTGAACGGCTCAAAGGAACCGAGTGGCCTCCTCCTGTTCCCTGTCCCTGTGTTCACCGTCCACAGATGGAGGCAATGGTAGGGTTGACAGTCAGGATCTTTCTTCCCAGAGTCAAAATATCTAATTGTACAGGGCATGCATTTAAGGTGAGAGGGGGAAAGTTCAGTGGAGATGTGAGGGGCAAGTTTCTTTACACACACAGTGGTAGGAGTGAGGAACGTGCTGCCAGGAGGCAGATATGACAGGGGCATTTGAGGGACTTTTGGATAAGCGCAGAAATATGCAAGGAATGGAGGGATATGGAGCAAGGGCAGACAGAAGGGATGAATTTGGCACCATGTTTGTTCCTTTGCTGTACTCGCCTATGTTCTATCTCTCCCCACCCCGGCCAAGTCAGGGCTGGCTGTGGGTCACCTCATGCCTTGGATCAGAGGAGGGCAGGAGCGGAAACCCTCCTGGCTTAGAGGTAGGGTGCTACCACCACACCACAAGCCCCCTCACAAGCAAGGACCATCTGACTTTGAACTGTCCCCTCCAACTGACATGCAGCTCTGTCTGACACGAAGCAAGACCTTAGACACGTGGAAACAGTTTAAATAATTTCTTTAATTCGTTTTTGTTTTCTTCAAGTATTTAGCTGGTGTACAGAGAAATGGCTTATTTTTCTTTTAAATTTATTTACTTTCTTCTTTTTACAGGTCTTTGATACAGGTACTCAAGTTCAAAAGAATTCTCTCCACGACAACAAGTTAAAAAAACAAGGAAGAATTGGTTCAAATTCTAGAAAGCTGTGTCAGGTCGACATTAGTGGGTCAGCATTCTACAGTTTAGTAATCTAAAGACAGCTATAGCTTTAAACCTGATGAGCAGTCAAGGTGTCTAAACATTCCTGTTAATGCTTGATACAAGTTCAGAGCAAGTGCTGAAGCATTCCTTACAGTTAAAATGCGTTAGGATTAATACAATTCCAAACCAGCCTGCCTGTACCTGTTTTCCGGGGTGACAGAGAGTTGTTGCAAAGTTCCCTCCCTCCCTCTGCGACTGCACAGTGTTGCCTCTGTTTCACACCTACACACACAGGCATAAACACATCCACACACAGACAGACATACAACACATGCAGGCATACCACACAGGCACACCCCAAACACATCCACACACAAACAGACCAACCACAGACACACACAGGCACAAACACATCCACACACAAACAGACCAACCACAGACACACACAGGCACAAACACATCCACACACAAACAGACATACCACACATACCAGGCATAGAACACAGAGAGACAGACACACAGGCACACCACACACGCAGGAAAACCAGATTCACAAACACAGACATACCACACACACACAGGCACAGAACACAGACAGACAGTCAGACACACACACAGGCACACCCCACAAACACAGACATACCACACACACACAGGCACAGAACACAGACAGGCACACCCCACACACATGAACACAGGCTGACTGCACATACACAGATATACCATACACACAGGCACACCGCGCACACAGGCATACCGCACTTGCACTGCTCGCAAACAAAGCTTTTCACTGTACTTAGGTACATGTGACAATAAATCGAATCAAGAATTAAGACCAGATATATACAGAGGCACACCATACACACACATCCAACTGGCAGCCTGGTCACACTCCCAATGACGGAGTGAAACTGCCAAGCATGAATCACAGCAGTCTCCTTCAGCCCCACCTTGTAAAACAGCGCTATCGATAAGAATTCAGCTTTGCTGAATACTCCTCCACTTCAAACCCCTGAACACCGTCCCTCCACCCAGCAAACACACACACACAGACATCACACCGGCTGGAAAAGCTTTGTGCTGTGAGAAGGATGTGCCCAGTGCTGTGTTATTGAATTCCGTACAGGGTTATTATTGCTGTCAGTCAGTCGAACAGGGCAGGGCAGGGCAGGGTGCCGGCTCTCAGCTCCGTGAACCTTGCGGATCTCGGACTGGAGTCCCTGGCGAGGCCGGCTCCTGTGCTGAGCAGAGCCTTGCCATTGCCCACTGTCCGTATGCTCATTTGAAGGTTCCTGTTTCTTGTGCTCACTGATCCATTATTGCGAGACTGACCAAGGCTGGGTCATGGTTCCAACTTGTGAGCTGCACACCATGACAGCTCTCTCTCTTTTTCTGTGTGTGCTTGGGATTCAGAACATTTCAGTGCACCAGCCAGTAAGCAGCATTCATAGACTGCACCAGATATACACAGTGTCTTGGAGTTTCATGTTGTATACAGTCGCTGAAGTTGGATTTCCAGAGTGGTCAATGGTATGGTGAAAGATGCTCCTTTGAAACACTGTCCTTTGGTTTTACGGCAAATAAAATGTGTGCGGGTGTGCGTTTGTATGTGTGGAAGGTTCAAATTACTTTAATTGGGCAGAACTCTCTCACTGCACTCACCACCCTGCAGTGATCTAAACTTTTGTCTCAGTTGCTCAGAAAATTCAGGAAGGTGAGGACAAAGAGGGGATCAGTCGAAAGATGTGCAGGTTAGGGCAGGTTGGCCGTGCCAAATTGGCACATAGTGTCCAGGGATGTGCAGGTTTGAGAAAATGCAGGGTGACAGGGATCGGGTCCGGGTGGGATGCTCTTCGGATGGTCACTGTGGACTCGACAGGCCGATTGGGAGGGGAGGTTGGAGTCAATGACCCGGGCACTGAGACCAGCAGTTTTCGGAGGGGGTCAGTGTGTAGGGGTCTATGGAGCATGGGCCTCAGCAAGCTATCACTGACACACGAAGGAACATCC